TTAGAAATGGATTTATTTTGAGAATTGGTAGTTAGGGTTTTTTAGTTAAATGTAATAGAAATAAGTATAAAAATGTTTTTGACGTCATCCAAAGGCTTTATACGTATTTACCGTGATTTAAATATTTAAGACCAATTACGATAATCGGTCACGAATTCACGAGTGTTAAACCACAGTGCTAATTGCGACACAAAATTACTGAGAACTTTATACGAGCCAAACTGAACCTTAATAACCAGTGTCAGTTTACATTTTTGCTGATCATTCCAATTATAAACTACGATCAAACAAGTCACATGTTGAACTTCACGTAATAGTACTAGAGAGGTACATAACAGGTGCATACGCAATACGCATCGTCCTCGATGTGGGTCAGGAGGCTCGCACGCGGGGAAACCGCCACCTTTATACCCTCCCCTTTAATAAAAAAAATAGACTCAAAAGTTACCCTACACAACCAAATTTAGATTTTAAATCTAAGGGCTTACAGTTTAGTTTGCGTTGTCTGAGGGTAAGTTTTAAGTCATTTTGTTGTCGCATAGCATGTGACGTCACAGCAGTGTCGCGCGTTCGCGGGCTTGTTTCGATCGATATTCGGACTCGGTCGTTCCCGCGAAAGGTCGGAAAGGGCCGAATGACGCGCCACCACGTGCATGTTACGTAATGATAGGTACAACTCATTGACAGAGATTATTTTGTACCTACGTTTTGCCGCACAAACAAGAATGCCGGACAATGCTCGGACAAACTTAAAAACAAAGAAAACTAAAAATATCGACTAAATTAGCATAATATGACAAATGAGTCGGTATTTAAATCGATTGCAAACTTGATAACACGACTGTCTTTAAAGAAAACAAAAACATTCTTAATTTGAAAAAAAAACAGCCCTAAAAGAAAAAGAAAACAAAAGACTATTGTTGTCAAAACATTCATTAACGTTTTTAATGAAACAAAGAGCAGTTTTTCATTTGTGATGAATTTTCCGATGGTTCGATTGATTTATTTATCTGTTGAATGCGTCCCCAGGAGATTTTCATCGAAATTGAATTCAATTCTTCTGTTACTACGGGAATGCGGATGCATTTTTCAATCGGGATTCTTTCTGCCGCTATAGAATATTTTGTGCTATCGAAGTATTTTATTTATGGATACGTTGCTGTAGAGGTTTTGTAATCAACTTTTCTGTCGCTCGGTTTACTTTATTTAAAACCTTTCAATTTATCTAGAATATTCCACAACATTCTGATGGACAAGTAATTCAATGACAAGGTTTTGCTATTTTTATATTTGTAGGCGGTGAAGAACTACAATGGCATTATTGCAAATCAAATTCATAATCGCAACAAGGATATATAAAATAAGGGATGTTTCTACTATATTCATAACTTGTATTGTAACTTTCGTGAGACATACTAAATAAATTATTATGTTTTCGGCTTACTCACGTAGTAATTCGACGAGGAACTCGACTAGTTTCAAGCCATGCTAGAGGCTCATATTTATCGAAAGGCATTTCAGGCTTTATCGTAAAGTATTGTGATTTAAAGTTGTATGTGTATATGTATTGTGTATTTGTATTGTGTTTAATACTAAGTATTATTTACAAATTAAACAGTTAGTTTACAAAATAACATTTATAAAATATTACTCTGAAATACTGCCAAAAGACGGTCAAGTATACAACGCATCTTTGATGGATTTTAAAAATCTACTAGGTTCCAATAAAAACTTTAGCCAAAAAATATGTACTGAATCATTGCATTCCGCCTATGAAAATAAACTCACCAATAGTTTTAAAATTAACTCCATATAAAGTTAAACCCTCGAGTTAAAATTATAGAGAAGTAGGTAAATGAGTGCCTAACAAGCCATGTTGCATAATTAATGTACTACTTTAATCATTGCACGAAACGTTCATAAATGTACGTCATTTCACCCAACTAGTTTAATCTGTCAAACACCAAGCGGTCACCGGTGACCGCGACCTATTGTTCTTTAATTGTGTCTATAAAACCGGTACTCGACGAGTTAAATATAAAACTGAAAATTCTAGACGAGTTTGAACGACATGGACTGACTAAATGGAGTGTGGACCAGAATAAATTATTCTGTTAGTCCATTCCATACGTTACAGTTTATTTTTAGAGTAGTCAATCTGATGCGGAGGTATGATGTAATTGGGATCAGGATATTTATAAGTGATTTTTTATTGACTTTTGGAATTGTATTTACTATATAATGTAAGGTGTTAAGATGAACAGCATGTCATAAGAATTTTCTTTATTTTTATCTTGTTTTAAAAACGTTGCCCCACACTAGGATTTTCTCCTGTGTCGTGGGTGCGGTTACAAACATACAAGTTCACATACACATGGCACCCAGACCCGGAACAACAATCTGTGGATCACACAAAGAGTTGTTCCGTGCGGGATTCGAACCCGCGGCACGTTGCGCGGCAGTCAGTTGCCCAGCCACCACGCCAACCGTGCAGTCAAACAAGGCAGACAAGTTTCAAACCGTGCTAGAGGCTTATATTCATCATATCATATCAGTAGCAGCGCGACAGTCACCGCGTCGGTCGCGAATTGCTGCTCATGAATATGAGCCTCTAGCATGGCTTGAAACTAGTCGTGTTCCTCGTCAAATAATTACGTCAGTAAGCTGAAAACATAATAATTTATTTTGTATGTCTTTTCTACATGAGACATAAGAGAATTTGCCACAATTTATACGTTTGGTAGGCGTGCTGGATATCGCAGTTCAAAACGATAGAGTTTTTAGAAAGCTAATACAAAATATGCCATAGCTTTCACTTCCCAGGCAAATATCTAAAATATCAAAACTTCAAATTCATACATACATACATACATAACTTCACGCCTGTCTCCCATGGGGGTAGGCAAAGACTATGGAACGCCAATTACTACGATTCCTACATACCTTTTTCGCTTCATTAACAGTCATCAATCTTTTTATGCATGCTCGTCGGTTATGGGTACCTTTAATTTGGCCCTTCTTTAATATTCAAATTCATTTACCTGGTAATATGGGTAAATTACATTAACTTATTAGTTGACAATGTGACATGATACGAATGAAAAAAAAAACAAAATAAACTTTACTACCGCAGTTTTTGGTTTAAAATTCAACTCTGAAATATGACATAATTAATAAATGTGTCATAGTTGCAGTTTGCAGCGTTACAGCGTAATATACAAAGATAGTGACAGTTAGAAGTGCCGGCTTAGTGCATGCATGCCGGCAGCAACGCGACGTGCAACGAATTTATTATAACACCTAGATACATTGCACTACACTACGTGATTAAATTTATATTAAGCTGTATTTATTTTGTACCTGAAAAATAAATAGCATATAGTTGAAATTATGTTAACATTTCTAGAAATTATTTTCATTACTTTGAGATGAAATTATTGCAGATTACGATTCTAGTACAAGAAGTTTTTTATGTGCTTAAAAACAAATTCTTATGACTGGGTCTATTGTCTTCCTATTGATTTCGCACGCTCAATTTTAGTAAAGGCCGTCAGCAATTAATATGCATACTACGCCTGACGTAAAATCCAATCTCAGTTTAATAAAAAGCACCTCTAGAACAATCCTTTTCTTCCAGCAAAATTGATTGGTTACGTAAATGCGAAGTCTACACGAGCTAAGAATAGCTTCGTAGCAACGTACTACGCAACGCGTAGCGCTACGAACTTGTAGCAGCTCGTAGCTGATAAGTTTCAAGGTGTAAATAAGAACGTAGTAAGTTTACCTTGCGGCCATTATTACTATGCTATGACACCGCGAGGTCTTGGCTACAAATAGACCTTGTATGCAGTTTCTGAAGGATTTTATGACTTCTTATCAAGTCTGGTCAAATCTTTCCGTCATAAAATCAAATTGCGGTCCCAAAATGGCCTGCGAAGTGTACTTGATCATGATAATATGTCCCCGAGAGCGTTTCTTCAAACAGTTTATATGGAGGACGATGTTTTCATAGTAACGGTTTGTGATAATATTTGAGAAGCAGCTTTACAGCATAACACTGAAACGAACCCACAGCTTTGTAGGCATTTCCCGCCTCTACAAAATCGTTTAATTCATTCAACCGTTCGCAGTCGATTAAAATAAATGGTTTGTAGCACTCGACGTGAAACTAGATATTACAAAATATTTTTATTATATTATAAAATATTTCCATTTTCATTTGCTCTTTGTTTTTGTTGTAATGTGAGTGGATTAGACAAATATCTGAGTACACTGAATCGAGACAGACCGCTGCTGTGAAGATAAAACTCATTCCTTTTTCTTAGCAAAAGAAAGATGGTCCGCATGCAGCTGAGCCGAGTACTCTACGATGATTTATTTTTACTACATTTGCTAGCAATAGCGCTGCATGCTAAATTTAGATTTGCAGTTTGAAAAATTACATTTTAGAGCGGATGCAATGGCGGGCAGCGTTCGGCGAGTTGTTAAAATTGAACTCGGGAATATTCTGAAATCACATCGAGGAAAATAATTAAACAGTCAAGAAAGTTGCTACTAAGTTGTGCAACTCTCCGAGTTCTCGCATATTGAAAAGGTTGAAGACAGGTCGGCTTGTAATAATGGTCGGTGCTTCCCTAGCACCTGCGGCTCAAGGAGGCGAGTTCGTTAGCGGTCATTAAAACTGCATCTGTAAGGACTAGGGCAGTGCAATAATTGCATCAAGTTTAACCGGGCTCGATCGATGTGAGGGTATTTACCTCGCCGGGCGAAAATAATCCGGGTACCGGTGATGTCAGAAGGCTTGCAGGGCGCATGCGTGGGGACGCTAGTAGGTACTAGTGGGTACAGTGGGTAGCCGGGCGTCAGTCGGTCGCCGGCCGCGCGTTGAGCCGGGCGCGCGTGTGCTTCTAATGGCGCCCCGTGGCGGCCGGTGAGGCGCCGGCCCCGCCGACCGCCTCGGGTCGACGGGCCAGCCAGGCCAGACGGGCGTTCGACCCATCATGTCCTTGCTCAGCGTCACAGGTATATAGTGCTGTGTGCCGGCTCTGATCGTGCTAACCCGCTTTGTGTTAAGATATACGAGAGTTACGCAGCAATTTGTGGTCGTTATGGACGCGTATTGAATGTGTTCAGGTACTTTTGGTGGTCAGGGTAAAGGATTCGACTGTTGCAACGAACTACGATTGAATAACAGCCACGTTACATTGATAATTTTAGAGAAAAACAAGTTTCTTTCATAGAAAACGTGTCTATGCACCCATATCTGTATGCTGGTAGCTATAACCGCAGGCGTAATGATAATAATTTCCTCGAACTTTTTGTTTAACTGATATCAGATAAATAAAGTTTGATTACCAGTTCCGATATATTAGTTTGTTTTGCGTGGGTTACGATCGCATATCGGCGCGTATCAACCGTATGCTATTGGTTATAAAGGTCATAGTCTCAACACGCGTGGTATCGAGTTGCACTTTAGCCGATACAGTACATTTTATTTACGTTCGTGACATTTTCTATAACAATACATTGTTCAGTTCAGCATTATTCATAATTTAATTGGTTTTTTCGCAAAACTCGAATGTTGGGTTTACATTGCGCGCTATTAAAGTGTTTTGTTTATGCTCGGTCCTTTTTACCAGTCGGTGTATGCCGCGGCAATTTCTAGAATCGCAAAGTTGAACGTTTTCAGACGTCTTAGGTATACGTATTGAAGAAAGGCCGCATTATCTGAAGTGAGGTAGTTAATTCAATAGTGCTAGAGCAGGCGCATCGATGAGCCACGCAGGGAGGCTAAGTATAGCTATAGTATACAATGTTCTGCCCCATTTCATGCGGATGTAGGTCGTGACCATAACAAGATGCCTTTCTGTAACTGAAACAATTACTTGCCTACTTATTATGGACAGTTTTTGTTGAAGCTGTAGTTTTAAGCGTGAGTTTTATTTAATGTTAAATTTCTGTAACTACTAAGTGATTACTTAAGTAAAATCTGCATTAAATTTATCTAGATTTTCCTATTAAACATCAAATACTTTGTTATTTCTTTATTCTTCTGGTACATTTAATGCTATCTTGTCCTGTCCTTTAAAGTTCATTTGTAATCACGAATGGCTATAAAATAAGAGGGATTACCATTGTAATAAATGCCTTCGAAATAAGCGATACGAAGAGGCGGTTCAGTCCCGTTATTTATTCAAGTTGATTATTTATTTTTTGAATTTGTTTACGTTAAAATATGGACTGCAATTTGCTTAAGCTATATCGGCTGTCTAAGGAATAATCAAAGGGAATATTGGATGAGTCACAATTGATTATGATAAAAATAATTATTCACATTGATTTTTATGTTCGAAATATTATTATTGAACAGATTTAGAGGTCTTTGACTAAAAGCTTGGAATAAAAGTCGTTTAAATTCACACAGTTTAAGCAAACAAAAAGGATTTTACAATTCGTATTATGTCAAAATTGTTAAAAAAAGATCTGCACATAACGTTTCTTTTCTCATATTTTTGATTTTCGGGTTCGGCGATAAATCTATTCCTTGTTATCAAAACATTGATTAATTCATTCATTAAAGCGTGTATGCTACGGTATTAATACCGAATCCGTGGTTCTCACGCCCACTCGTTTTGCTCGTGAAAAATTCCCGCCAATCAGCTCGTATTAAATTAACTTTAGCCTCATATTCTACGAAAAGAATTAAGTTAGTCAGATCAGAATTAAGAAGATTTACTTTTAATACATGAGTAAGATATTTTATTGGATGTAATAGGTCTGTAGGTAGGATGCTAGGGCGGTTTCTAGTCAGTAAGAGTCTGATATTTTTCAGAGGGGTTCCATGAGGATTTTCTACCTTAAAGTCAAGAAATTATCATGTCATATACATTTCTAGATTAAAATGTTAACTAACTATATATGCAATTCAACTTTGATATTGCATTTTCAATGCTAACAACGAGAAAGGAATTTGTCCTGAGACTTTCAACCTGTATTCAGATATTCTGAAAGGTCTGACGTCAATTTTGAAGCTGAATTTCGGAATCTGTGTAGCGTTTCGACTAGTTACCACAAAACTAGAGTTGGTTGCAAAGAGAAGAGAGTTCAGTCCTAAAAGAAAAAGTGGTAAAAGGTATTACCTATTTACGTTATGATGTAATAGTTGTCTTCAGAACCAATCTTTACTGAGTTTTGGTTTCCTCAGAGTTAAAGTTAAAGTTTAGACTCTTTTGACCAAAACCTCGATTAGTAACAAAAATGTTCTCCCATTAAATATCTTAACTTGAAAGATACTTTTAAAGATAAGCAGGAAATTTATATTTTTTCTTCTCTGACTAGGATTTGTTGCGTGTACGGTAAGACATGTAAATATATCATATACATATTGTCAGCCAATTGCCATGATTTTATAAACAAGATAGCATTTAATATTTTTATAATTTGTGTCTCAATTTCGTATAATTATAGAAATGTTAACTAGATGTAAAAGTATCAACTTAGACAATGTATTCAATTAACTCAATAACTTTCATGCCGTAAGGCAAAATGTACCGGGACTCTCCATAAGTTATAAAATAACATATTTGTTACTTACCTTTTTGGTAAATTAATGATTTCTGATTTCTGGGGGCCTAAAAAGGTAACACTGGGTGAATCATTTCTAATATGACAGATTTGATGAATTGTTAAAGAATCATCTAAATCACACTTGATTTCTAATAACACTAGATGAAATCAAAAATCACAGTTTACGTTAGTATACTGAGAAAAGCTGTAGGTACTAGTTTAGTCTACTAGTTCGGGAGTAACCCGCGATTTTATTAAATTTAGTATGTCTCACGATAGTTATTATATAAAAACTTGATGAAATTGAGAAAATGATAGTAGAATATCTACCTTAATCATGATTTAATCCATTTTACTACACGTGTACGTCTTCCTATATTTATTGAATGAGTTGAACAATTTTTTTACCTGAGAGTTATAACTAGATCGCGAACTTAGAGGAGTTTTAATCAAGTATGTTTGGAGTTGGAAGCTTTCTAATTTTCTAGTTTATTGCATTTGGATTGAAGACTTACTTCCTACTTGAGGATAAGGATATTTTACGGGTGCATGGGGAGGTTTGTAAGACTTATTTTAGTTTTAAAACGATTTTCTATCGATTTGCGCTGGGTATTGGTCTAAATTTAGTTGGTAGGCATAAAAACTATTTTCTCTTGTAGTCGACTAAAGCAAGACTGCCTCGTTGGCCAAGATGTCGCAACTGTGACTGCCGAGCAAGGGGTATCGGGTGCGATTCTCTGGTCAGGCAAAGTACTACTGGTTTTTTTTTAATTCTCAGTAGTAGCACGGTGTCTCGAATTGTGCCCGTTATATGGCAATAGGCTCACCCCCTATTATATGGGACTCATATAATAAATAATAAAAAGCGAGTGTTACATTGTACAGTGGCATCAAGTGCCGTAATGTGCAACTCTGCCTAACTCCTTCGGGGATAAAAGGCGTGATGTTATGTTATGTATGTCGACTAAGGCAAGATTTGCTGTCTGTTTCACAGTAAGAGTGCGAATCACATAAAGTAATTATTAGTGGAAAATACATATTAAAGAGTTCATGTAAAATTTGCGGAATATACAATTCATCGTATCACTAAATATATCAAGCACTACACGAAATATTGAATTAATCAAGTTTCAATTTGTGCGTTTTGCAGCGTAAACCTCCAATACGGATATATAACCGAAAATTGGTGCTAGTGGTCTTTAAATCGGCTTGTTGGAAAGTGCAACAGGTCTGAATAGCACTTTAACGAAACAAGATCAATGTCAAAGTCAAGAGGAACTATCTCAATATTTCCGAAAACTAATTAATGGCTTCCACTTTGTCAGCCATAGGATTAATTTGTTTTATTCGCGTGAATGCTGTGTCCACAACTGAGGATTTATTGAACTAAATATAACGTGTTTGTGAATGCAGGTTGATCGTGAAGCTTTTATTCGTGAATTTTCTCGCATGTTCAGAATCAGAATCAGAATCAGAATCAGAATCAGAATCAGAATCAGAATCAGAATCAGAATCATCATTTATTTGTTAAACATAGGTAGTTTACATAATAAGGTCTTAAATATAAAGATAGTCCACTATGTTTTGCCGTGATAGACATACAAATATATTAGGTACATGCATGTTAATTTCTTTTAAAGATATTTTTGGGTTCGTTTTGCTGGTGAAGTGGCATGTGGGTTGTGTTTGATTGTAATTGCTTCAGGGTTCCAATGCTGTGTTGTAAAGTTAATGGTAAATGTTGTGGTGGGCCGGAGGTTTTTTTTTTTTTTTATTAAGGGGGGAAAATCATCGAATGACTGCTCCCGCCTGGGTGAGGCAGAAGGGAGTGTCAGACTCTTACTGACTAAAAACCACCCCGTTCTTTCTCCTGCACGTCGAGCCGGAGCCCCGGTTACCCGTTAGGTTCTCCGCGACTCCGAATCGGCATCGGCCCTATTGGGCCCCATCTGTGGTGGTCTGATGGCTCTTTGAGGCGCGCGCGGAACGCTACGCGCCGTGCGCTCGGGTCTGTTTCTGGTCGGACGGGGAGCCACCCATGCTCGCCGTCCGCAGTCCCGCGCTTACGGTGGCCGGAGATCGTCCCGCGATCCCCGACGCCCGGTGTGTCCTTCGCGACGGCTGGGTTGCGAGGAGGCAGCTCTTCGCTGCCTCACGCGTCCCGCCTCCTCCTTAGCTAGCATGACTGCTTCGCAAAAGGAGGAGACGGCATCCCAGTCCCCCTCGCTCCGCATCATGGCCTGCACTAGGCCCGGACGCGAGAGGTCTCCATTACGCCCGCTTCTCATGCATGTGGGTGCGGGTTCGAAACCTACCAACGGCAAGTACCAATGTGACTTTTTCCGAGTTATATGTACATACTTTCTAATATTATTCAGACACCACTGACATACGATGAAGGAAAACATCGTGAGGAAACCTGGGCTTATAATTTCTAATTATAAGTTTGTAATCGC